GTAGAGCTCAGTGGTACAGTGCTTATCTAGCATGTGCAAGGCATCCCAGCCCTGCAAAGAAACAACAAAACAGGCCTTAGGGATATTTGAGTTGCTGAAATTGTACAGAATGATTGCCTTTGGAAGGGTGGATGGCTGAGATGAGGTCCCCCAATGTAGCCCAGGCTGTCCTTGAACTCTTGGTCCTCCTGCCTCAGCCTCTCAGGAGGCTCAGAGTGGAGATTCCAGGAATGTGTCACTATATCTGATTTTTTTTTTCTTTAGGTGGTACTGGGATTTAAACTCAGGGCCTGACACTTGCTAGGCAGGTGCTCTAACTGCTTGAGCCACTCCACCAGCCCCACTATGCCTGACTTTAGAATGAGTTTAACAAAAAGAAGCAGGGGGCTGGAGGTGTGGCTTAAGCAGTAAAGTACCCACCTAACAAGTGGGAAGCCCTGAGTTCCAACCCCAGTGTGTATGTGTGTTGGGGGAAAGCAGCAAAGTGCCTAAGAGCATCAGTTCAAAGCTGGATACCCTGAGGGTCAAGTTAGGCTCTGCTTCTATGTGACCCAGCTGTGCCATGTCTCCTCTCTGGCTCAGCTCCGCATCTGTAAAATAGGATCATTTAGCATCCCTATCACAAGTGTCAAAAGACGTGAACTTAGCTGAGCATGGTGGTTCATACATGTAATCCCAGCTACTCAGGAGTGGGAGGTGGGAGGATCAAGAGACCAAGGCCAACCTGGGCAAAGGTAGTGAGTTCCCACTTCAAAAACAAAAACAAAAATAAACATAAAAAAGCAACACAGACAAAACAAAATGAAAAGGGCTGGGGGGTGTGGCTCAAGTGATAGAGTACTTGCCTAGCATGCACAAGACCCTGGATTTTAATTAATCCCCAGTCCTCAGGAAAGGATGTGAAAAGAAAATAAAAAACAGCCTGGGGATGCTGGCTCATGCTTGTAACCTAGCTATCAGGAGGCAGGGATCAGGAGGATCGCACTTTGAAGCCACCTGGGCAAATAGTTTTCGAGGCCCTATCTCAAAAAAAAAAAAACCTTTCAATAAAAGGGCTGGTGGAGTGGCTCAAAGTGTAGGCCCTGAGTTCAAGCCCCAGTACTGCAAAAAACTGGAGAGGGGGCTGGAGTCTGTTCAGAGCAGGGCTGAACTCCTGGACCTGCTACCTGTATAATCATACAAGGCCCTGCTCTCAGAATAGGCCTAGCCCTTGGTTTAATGCTTTGCCTTTGCTGTTTTGAAACTCTTAATAATTTGCCTTTGAACTTTTGTTTTGTAAGCAAATCTGGTGGACAAGGCAATATGTGTGTGAGCAGAGAAGATATGGCAGGTGGCATGAGCAGGCTCAGGCCAGCAAGAATGGCAGGTGGTGGGTAGCACAGGTTCTTAGCAGTTGGCCTAGCCACCTGGTGGGCACCCACATGGCTGGGCAGTCTGGGACACTGTGGGGCTGCAAGAGGACAGCAGGAGCCAGGATTTGTGCCCAGACTGGCAGCAGCAGAAGAAATAGTGGTGGTGGCCGCCCACTATTGCCGTGGCAAGAAGGACTCCATATGAAAGAGCCCGTCCCCGTGGCAGGTGCACAAATGCTGCCCTGCAGCCTGAGTACTGAGACAGGCAATGCCAGCATCTGGCAGTGAACTTTGCCAGCAAACTATTACAAAACAAAAGCATATGCCTGAACTTTGCAATAGAGTTTATCAGGGAATTGTTAGAATTCTTCAAAGAAGTGGACTGGGGATGTAGCTCAGTAGTAAAATGCTTGCCTAGTATGCTCAAAGGTTTACATCCCTAGTGCTACCAGACAAGAACAACAAAACAAAAACCCCCTAGAAACCTTTAAAGAGTGTGGAATCTCTGAAACCTCTGGTTTTGAAAACTGCTTCAACATTGCTAAGTCAAAACCAATAGGCTCAGAAGTTAAATGAAAGATCAGGGGTAGGTATGTGACCAAGTGATGAGGCATGAGCTCAAACCCCAGGATTGCCAAAATAAAAATAAAATATAAAACATCACTGGGCACTGGTGGCTTACGCCTGTAATCCTGGCTACTCAGGAGGCAGAGATCAGGAGGATCGCAGTTCGAAGCCAGCCCAGGCAAATAGTTTGTGAGACCCTATCTTGAAAAAACCCATCACAAAAAACAGCTGGTTTGAGAAGGTAAATTCAACTGTGACATATTGTAAGAACTTTGGTAAATGTCCCAAAGTACCCCCAGTACAATGATAATAAAAAAAAAATTTAAGAAGAAAAAAAGGGCTGGTAGAGTGGCTCAAATGGTAGAGCACCTGCCTAGCAAACATGAAGCCCTGAGTTCAAACCCCAGTAACACCAAAATAAATAAATAAAATTAAATTTAAAAAGTGGAAAGATCACCACATCCTACAGAAAATAATTATGTGTTCATTTGAAGCTTTATTGTTCACAGGAAAGCAGTTTGTTGTTGTTGTTGTGGTACTGGGGTTTGAACTCAGAGTCTTCACCTTGAGCCACTCCACCAGCCCTTTTTTGTGATTTTTTTTCAAGATTGGGTCTTGTATACTATTTGCCAAGGCTGACTTTGAACTGTGATCCTCCTGATCTCTGCCTCCTGAGTAGCCAGGATTACAGGCATGAGCCATTGGTGCCCGGCAGTAGCTTTGATTTTTAAATTAAACGATTCTTTTTCTTTCTTTCTTTCTTTTTTCTTTTTTTTTTTTGTGGTACTGGGGTTTGAACTCAGGGCCTACACTTTGAGCCACTCTACCAGCCCTTTGTTGTGATGGGTTGCGAGACCCTATCCTGAAAAACCCTATCCCAAAAATAGGGCTGGTGGAGTGGCTCAAGGTGTAGGCCCTGAGTTCAAGCCCCAGTACCGCAAAAAAAAGAAAAAAGAAAAAGAAAACTCAGGCTTCTAGTGACTCCCAAGCCCAAAGATTGGTCATCACTTTATAATGTTTAAAAAGCCACTTCCCAGTGTGGACAACTTGTCCCCTTGGAAAGGTTCCATCACTGTGGCTCTCAACTTTGCAATTTGTTTTTCCCGTTATCCCCCTTTGGGAGCTATCTTCTGACCTGGAGACTCGTGCTTCTGGATGGCCCCACAGGTGGCAGGTCTGGCACCCTTAGCAAGTAATGCATGTGACAAGTGCTTTGGTATCCATGAAGAGTGCAGTGATGTCAGGAGGGGATGTGCACGTGGAGGTAGTGTGACTATTAATGGCGAGTTACAATTCCACGTAACCTTGAAGACGCTGAAGAAATGGGGCGTCAGATGCAAGGCTGTAATCCCGGGTAACCCAGGCTGTATCCCAAGGCTCTGTATCCCATGGAGGGCTACAGCCTCAGAGTCTGGCCTTGCAGGGATGGGTCCTCTAGGAACTGGCTCCTCCCACCCTCGACGGACCAATCCCTGTGCTCCATAGTAGAGGGAGGCAATTTGATTGGATTATACACTCAGAATATGGGCGTGATCGGCACAGTGATGGACAGCCACATACAGCGGACCCAAGCACCTGCTCCTCCACTCTGGTCTGGGCTCAAATGCCTCCCCTGGACCAGAGTTGTTGTATCTCATCTGTTTTAGTTACTTATCATTTATTGATTGGCTCCTCCAAATACACCGAGTTCTTCCATTCCTTCATCATGGCGATTCTGTGTGCACAAGGGGCAGCCTCGTCTGTCATTTGACCAGCAACACACTAGCTTCCCCACCCACTCTCCGGTGGCTTCTATGTCAGGACAATGAACCAGACCCCTTTGTAAGGCCTCAAGAGCCTCTCGCAGGTCCCTTCTCCTTGTCTTCTGCTTCCATGGGAACAGCCCTCTAAAGCTGCTCCCCGCCAGGATTCTCCTCCCTTCAGTTCTCTGGAATTCACCCTTGCTGCCAAACCTCTGCTTGAGCTCAGTTTCAGTGTCACCTGCTTAAAGGGCTGTCTCTGAACTGCTGGTCTACCTGCAGCTCCTGACCTAGCTGTCCAGCCGGATCCCTGCATTTATCAGTTTCTATTTTTGTTGCTGTTGAGACAGGGTCTTGCTATGCAGCCCAGGCTGGCCTCAATCCTCCTGCCTCTGCCTCTTTAGTGCTGGGTTTACGGGGGTGTGTCACCGCACCTGGCTTAACAGTTGATAATTTTGTTTGCATGTTAATTCAACACTGATCTTTCCCACAGGATGGCCATCTCTGTCAGGCAGTGGCTGTCCATGTTGAACTCCCAGGGCCTAGCAGTGTCTGGCACTCTGTAGGTTTTGCATAAATGATGTGCCAACTCAGGGCTACTAATTTTAAATTCAGAGTTCTGTAACCACTTGTACATGCAAGAGCATGGAAGGAAGGAGGCCAAGTTTTTCATCTTGGTTACCTCTGCGATTAGTTGGGACCGGGAAAGGGAAGTGCATGTGTGGGTGTCACCTGGGGATTCTGGCTTCAACTATAGTGATTTTACTTTTTTATTTCCCCCTTGTGGTACTGGGGTTTGAACGCAAGGCCTCCCACTTGCAAGGCAGGCGTGCTGCTCTACCACTTGGGTCATGCCCCCAACCCTTTGCACTTTTGGCCCAGGCCAGTCTCAGACAACCATGCTCCTACCTATGCCTCCCAAGTGGCTGGAATTACAGATGTGCACCACCATGCCTGGCTTCTCATGAACTTCTACCTGGCCTGGCCTTGAACCATGATCCTCCCGATCTTTACCTCCTGAGTATCTAGATCACAGGTGTGAGTCACTACTCCCAGCCTGTGTTTTACCTTTGTTGTTGTTGGTACTGGGGTTTGAACTCAGGGCCTCACGCTTGCTAGGCAGGCGCTTTACCACTTGAACCACTCTGCCACTCCAATACTACATTTTAATAGAATATGTTCATAGCTTTGCTGTGTTATTAAAAATGGACTAGCCAATAATAAACAAAACTTGGGCCGGGTCAGGGAGACAAAGGGGATGGGGCAATCCCAAACCAAACTCAGAGGAACAAAGAAACACTGTGACACACTTGCAGTCCGCTGGTGGGTTCTGAGTCTTCACTTTATTACTATGTCACCAGAATTCACCACCTTCACTTGGTTCACCACAGATGGATGGATGTCAGAGGGTGCCACGGGGCCACTGGATCCACTCTGGAGAGACTTAACCAGGTGGGAGGGGGTCTAGAGTAGGAGCCCAGGATGGGGACCACCCTTCACCGAACACACGCACGCACACACACAAATATATTTGTGGAGCCTTATATTATTATACATCTTATATATAGAAAATATATATTTATACTATACACAGGCAGTAACGCTGCAGGAGAGGCCAGGGCACCCAGATGAGGGCTGTGGGCATTGGGGGCTGGAATGTCAGGTCAGGGGTAGCACTGGGAGACAGCTGGACCAGTCCATCCTCCATCAACTCTGGGTGGGGTGGTCCCCCTCCTGCTCATTAGAGAATCAAAGGGGTCTTGGGCCAAGGTTAGGGGTCCCTTATGGGTAACAAGTGGGGACTCCCAAGAGTCTTGAAGATCATTAATCACAAGGAAGAATGGAGCTGGGGGCAGGGGAAAACACAATGCCAGTCCCCTGGGAATAGTCCTGTGGATCAGGAGCCACCCAGGCAAGACAGCCCGTGATTGCACAGAATGAGCGTCAACTCAGACAGTGAAAGACGGGGCTCCTAAACCTCTGTGCTTGACCTTGGACATTACTGGCTTCCTGTCCCAGACTTGACCCTCTCTAAGGGTCTGAACTTGTGTGGAGCCTGTTTCCTAAGCCTTCTCTTGTGCTTGGCAGGAGGAAGGAGCCCAAACTCCATGGGTCGGGCAGCAGATGGACCTTCTCCTAGCAAAGTGTGGCCGAGGGCAACAAAGAGAAGGGGTACCAGGGTGTTGCTGGCCTAGGGGTGTAACCCCTGAAAACTGTGCTGTTTCCTCACGAACCTTCCAGCAGCAGAGTCAGGAGGCTGGGTCTCTTCCAAGCCTCTCACCTCTGATCTCTTGCCCTCTGCCTCTCATCTCCAAATGTGGCAAGTCCCCACTGGTGTCCCACCTGGTGAACCATGCCTGGGGCATCCATCTGGCCTGGACCCCAGAAAGAGGGATGTTTCCTGAGGTGACAGCCCCCATGCTTGGCAGGGGTCTGGTACACTTTCCCAGGCTGGGTTGAGCTCCCTTGCCCTCTGGCCCAGCAGAACCTTGACAGGTTGGTGCTCGGGGAGAAACAAATGAGCAGAACCCACGGGTCTCTAAGACCCACCAGCCAGGGGGCTCAGGGTGGTAAGCAAGGGACAGGGCATCCCACAGCCTGCCGTGGCTGGCACAGAACCACCCTATGCCAGAAAAACTCCTATAGTCACTGCAGCCTCACCTCTGGTCTGGTCTGGTCCAGGTCTCATCACTCAGGCCAACAGATAACCCTCCCCCAAGTGTCCCCACTCAGACCACCTGGCCTGTAGACAGAACCCATTCCCCAGATGTGGAAAATGAAAGTCAGCAGCAGGTAGCTGTCACTCAGCTGTCCTCTCCCAACACTGCTGCTCCTTGGGAGGACTTCAACAGCCCCGAGTTCAGTCAGGTGCCACTGCTAACTCACTCGTGCTGAGTCTGTTTCTCTCTCTGCTCAGTAAGGACAGTGTTGCTCCTTCCCTCCCCTCCTGCCATCCTCAGGGTCCTTCCTGGGAGCCTCAGGCCCTCAGCACACTTGGACCACAAGCTCTGAGGGCACAAGAACCACGCACACCCTTAGAGTACCCAGCACAGGTATACCTGCCTCGTAGGGTCCCCTGTGGGACATGGGGTGATGGTGAAGTCACCCATCACCATGCCTGACTCGTAAGTCTCTGTGTCCTGCTTTCTGAGGGTCCCGCCACTGTGCACTCAGCACAGACAGGAGGAGGGTGGCTCACCACACACCTCTCCGTGTCCCTTCTGATTCAGGGTGGGGTGCACCTGTGCAAAGACCCCTCCCAGCTGCTGCTCAGAAGGGCCAACTGCCGCTCTTTGTCCAACTCTCCTTATGCCTTTGGGACTACCTACTAACCTGTCCCCTGGTCCATAGTCTCTCAGCGCCCATTCTGCACAGTGGCTCACCCCTGTCATCTCGGGCCATGCATCTGGTGGCCACAGACTCTACTACTCTGCTTCCCATGGGCCTTCCAGAGGATAGGGGAGGGTCTGGCCCATGCCTACGGCTGCTCCAGATCAGTTGTTTCCTGGGAGGTCACAAGGGTGGGAATCAGGCACCTGCTGAGTGACCAAGGTCGAGAAATGCAAGCAGTAAGCCCACTGCCGCCACTTGCTGGGACCCTGGGCCTGTCCCCACCACCACCAGGGCCTCCTTGTCCATGTTGCCCTGGGCAAGGGCTTAGAGAGACCTCCCAGAAGCAGGAACAGTGACCAGTCCTCTGGGAGGCCACAAAGGGAGTCACTGGCACACCTCAAGCAGACTCCGTGTGGGATACACAGCAAAGGAGTAGCCTCTGGGAAAAGGCCAAGGCCCCAGGATAGGAACTGCGGGGAGGGGAAGCAGCTGAGGCAGAAGAGGCCCTTTGCTTATAGACGAATCTGGTGTCTCACAGACCCAGCCCCCAGGATGTGCTGAGCAGTGGTGCCCAGGAAAGGGGATGGGGCATGAGGACAGGGAGTGAAAGCAGGTGCTCTGTCAGTGTTGGGCTGCCTTGGCATAGCCTCACCTCCATCAACTGAGTGACCCTGGGCGAGTGACTGTGATCTCTAGACCATAAAATGGAGACAGCCCTGATAATCCTGGCAGGGTTGCCCATATCAAGGGTTCTGGGGGTGACAACCTACATCCTGTGCCATCCACACTCACCCTATGACTTTCCAGCATGGTCCCTGTCTGTCCCACCACTCCTGCCTCTGGCACAGACAGGGCCTCTTCATCATCCCAACTTTCCCCTTTTGGGGGACCATCTCTGCCTCTTCTACCACCTTGCTGAGCACAGACCTGGCGGAGAGCAGGTGCTATATGAATGCTCGAAGAAGCAATGAATGAATGCAAGCCCTGGCTCCCACTTGCTGGACACATGCCTTTGGACATACTTGCACACACGTGGATGCCCCCATGCCAGGCTGCTCCGGTCTGCTAGACGCCCTGAACCTCTGCAGAGCAACTTGGAGGCTGAGGAGGGGCTGGGCGTGGGGCGGGTCCGAGGGAGGCGGCATGGTGGGTGGGGGCGGGGCTGGGGTAGAGACGCAGGGGCAGGCAGGGCAGGTGGTCACTGTGGCTCAGTAGCCCTGCGACTGATAGCCCTGGGGCTCAGCATCAAAGGCGTTGGCTGGCTGCTGGTAGGTGCCGCCCATGCCGGTGGGGTCCTGCCCAGCGCTGGGCTCCACGTAGGGGGCGTAAGGCATGCTGGAGTCCTGGCTGGGGTCCATGTAGTCCTGGGAGAAGAGGGCTGAGTCGGCGCCAATCTGATACCGCTGGAAGGCCAGCACAGCCTGGCCCGCCTAGGGTGGGGGCCAGCATGGACAAGGACAGGTGAGAGGGATGGTTAGGGGAGAGACAGACAAGAGTGCTGGGTTAGTAGTGGTTAGTAGACAGTACACAGGCAATACAAGGTTAAAGATCCCAAAGCACCAAACTTGACCCAGTGGCCAACTCTCCAGAGACCCAGGACCCCATGTCCAGTCAGAAAGACCCTCAGAAATCACCATCCCCATGTCTCTCAGGCCCAGAGGTCACTCTCAACCACCAAAATTTTTTGATCGCCACTGTGGAGGGTTAAGGAGACCCAAAGGCCGACAGCCCCTTCTCAAACTGTGTTCTCAGAGCTGTTAAGTGCAATGGGAGAAAAGAAAGGTTTCTTAGTAGAACAGAGTACTCTTGGCATCTCCTCTTGCAGCTAGGCATAGTCACGGGATTAAGCTCTGGTCAATGAGGTACCCTCATGTTCTCCATCCCAGCCTCTAACTGGATACCCAGAATGCAGATGTGATAGCTGGAGACTCTAGTTGCCAAAATGGACCATTAGGACCATAAGCCAAACTGTAGGGATCTAAAATGCCTGGGTCACCGAAGACCTCTGGAACCACTAGGCCAGTCCCACATGACCTGCCCACACTCGGACTTTGTTTAAACTACTGTTATTTGGGATCAGCATCACTTGCTACTGAACCAAATTCTAGCTAAAACACTTGGTTGGGAAACTGAGTTCAACAGAGTGAACAAGTTCCAGGATTCACAACTTGTCAGAGCCTTGACTACTCAGTATCTGTGGATCCCCAAAGGAGAAGCTATGGAAAGTGAACTTTGCCAGCCTGATCTGACCATGGAAGCCTTTCCTTGCAGCATCCAGCATCCTGTATGGGAAAGGCTTGATTGCTGTGCACTTGCCTTTTCAGTAAAAGCAACTACACTGGGTTTTTTTGTTTTGTTTTATTTCGTTTTTTTCGGTGCTGGGGCTTGAACTCAGGGCCTACACTTTGAGCCATTGCACCAGCCTTTTTTGTGTGTGTGATAGGTTTTATTGAGATAGGGTCTCTTGAACTATTTGTCTGGGCTGGCTTCGAACCTCAAACTTCCTGATCTCTGCCTCCTGAGTAGCTATGATTATAGATACGAGCCAGCGGCGCCCAGCTACTGCACTGTTTTATGGCCGATGACACTGACCATATGGAGCAAAGGAGTAAATCACATGTGTCATTAAAACCAGTCCCAGGTTTATGGTGAAGCCTTCTCCAGAGAGTGTTCCAGTCCAGGGCGTCTGCCATCCATTCCCCAAAACTCAGAGAGCAAAGTAGCTTGGCATTCTATTCCAGAAAATTCCAGAGCCAATCAGGTGTTAACCAAATAATCTCTGGACAGCTTTTTGTGGGAAGTGACTGTTTCTCTCCCCTGACCTGGAATCAGGACATGCTAGGCAAGCATTCTACCACTGATCTACACACTCAGCCTGGGGCCAGGGACCCCATCTAATCCACCATAGGCAAAGCCCCAGGGGAGGGCAGACAGACCTAGAGCAACTGGGCTGAGGAGTGGCTCTGAGGCCCTGCTGCCTGGGACTCAGAGGTTGTAGTCAAAAGCGGCAGAGCAAGGAGGAGTAAGGAGTTTGCCAGTGGGCAAACCCGGAGGAGCACACTAAGAATGGAGGGATGAATCCTAAGAGCAAGGTCTGTGGGCCTGGCCCCCCCACTCCAGCTCCCCTGCCCAGAGACAGGGCAGAGGACCTCTGCAGACTCTTTGGGACAAAGAGCCTCTGGCCACGAGCCCCAAGGATTATCTCTGTGATAAGCCCTCTGGCCACAAAGCCAGGCTTCCTTGGCCATAGACAGTAGCAAAGGAATGTCCCAGCCATGGCTGGCCTGGGCTGTAGGAGAGAGGCTGGGAGTCCTGCTCAGAGTCCAGGAACCTGCAGTCTATGGGCTCCGTTTCTCAGGGCAAATGAACTCTGCAGCATCTATATTGGACAGTCTGCACTTGCACACCTCCGGCACCAGGAAGCTCACTCTGGCAGAGGCGTTGCTCTGGGCCTCCTCATGCCACTCCTCCTCAGCTCCTGCAGAGAATAGGGGGACAGGTGGTGCTGCCTGGGAACTGGGGACCATGGAGGGAACCCATGGAAGAGTAGAAGCCAACGCCCTTTGGCAGAACGAGGGCTCTTGTGAGACTCACTCTCATAGAGTCTGCAGAGAACAAACGGTTGAGTGAGTGAGCACATGAGGTCACACTTATTGAGCATCCCTGTGTCAAGCCCTGTGTTGGATTTTATTTCACCTGCAAAACCACTTTAGAAGCTGGTTTCTTTTGTAAATGTCAGAATGTACCCCCAAGTACAACAATAATTTGATAACTAAAAAATGGCAAAAAAAAAAAAAAAAAAAAAAGCTTGTCTGTTTTCAGCTGTCTCAGGCTCAGAGACATGCAAGGGATTGGGTCTAGGTCACACAGCACAGAGGAGCAGTGCCAGCCCAAGAGTCCTCTGCGATTCAGGCCAAACCCTGCTAGTCAGTCAGTGTCCAAGAGGGCAGTAAGACTATCCTTCATGCCTGTGGACAGACTATCAGTGTCCACAGCTCCGTCCCCTGCACCACAGACACGGTCTGGCAGCCTGTGTTCGGAGCCACCTCCTATCCTCTAACAGACTGTGGTCTACTTGGGGGAGGTTCTGATGTATCTTCCCCTCCCCAGCCTGTGGGCTCCTGGGGCCAGGGACCCCCTCTAATCCATCATAGGCAAAAAACAGCTGCTCAATAAATGTTTACTGAATGAACGAACACAAAGAATAAAGGGAGGAGGCAATGAATGAATGAATGAATGAGCAAGGGGAGAGCCTGGCAAGCAGCTGTAGCCAGCTTCCCACACCCTCCTCGCCCTGGAGTCCCGGCTGTGGATGTGTCCTGCGTGAGGCTGCGGGACCTCGCCCGCCGCAGGACGGCTATGGCTGGGCTGCGGCGGGAAACAGCGTGTTGTACTCCTCCTGGAAGGAAAGGTCCTTGAATCTGCGCACGGCCAGGGCTGCGGTGAGGCTCTGCCAGAGAGAGCTAGGGTGAGGCTGCTGCGGAGGCGCTAGCCAGCACCTGTCCGTCAGGGCTATAGATCCGCCCCTGAAGAGCCCAGTGCCCAATCATCCGCGTCTCCTCTGCGAGCCCCGCCCACATCAGACAGCGGCTTCCAAACTCCTCCCTACCCGCTAGGTGGTCCCGCTCCTGGTAACCTCCCCCTTCCTGCCAAGTCCTCAACTCCTCAAAGCGGAACCACAGGTCTCCCTTCAGACTGTAGCTCCCACTATTGTACTGGGGCGGGGGCGGGGAGGGACCTGGAGGTGTGGCTCAAGCGGTAGAGCGCCTACTTTGTAAGCATGAAGTCCTGAGTTCAAACTCCAGTCCCACCAAAAAAAAAAAAGGAATATACAAAAATATTGTGCCGGGGGGGGGGGGGGGGCTGGGTGTCCCAGAAGAAAACAGGTATCAGGAGCCCTCAAACCGAGAAAGAAGTCACTAAGGGGAGGGTGGGAACAGAAAGGGTGTCCTTGCAAAAGTGGCCAAGGATTGCTAAGCAGCCTGGAGCTGGAGCCGCTGCAAGTGGGGGAAGGGAGAACCCTGGCATGAGGCCTGAGCCACTGGAATCCGAGAGGAAGACTGGGACAGAAGAAGAAATAAAGGCCAGCTGCGGGTGGCTCACACCTGTAATCCTAGCTACTCAGGAGGCAGAGATCAGAGGATCTAGGTTGGAAGCCAGCACCGGCAAATAGTTCCTGAGACCCTGTCTCGAAAATACCCACTACACACAAAAAAATGGGCTGGTGGAGTGGCTCAAGTGGTACAGCACCTGCCTAGCAAGTGTGAAGCCTTGAGTTCAAACCCTGGTACCACCAAAAAAAAGAAAAGAAGAAGGAGAAATAAAAATAACGTGGACCTTTGCAGGACCTGCCCTGCAAAAGGCAATCTCTGGTCTGTTGGGCTCCAAGACACAACTCAATTTTTTTTTTTTTTCTTTTGGCAGAACTAGGGTTTGAACTTAGGGTCTCTTGCTTGTTAGTAAAGTGCTCTACCATGTGAACCACACCCCAGCCCGTCTTGCTTTTAGTTTTTCAGATCAGGACTCCCCCACTTTTGCCTGGGCTGAGAGCTGGCTTTGGATTGTGAGCCTCCTACTTCTGCCTCCTGAGAAGCTGGAATTCCTGATTTTTTTTTAAACTTGAATAAATTACCAACACACAAAGATCAGATTTCATGTAAAAACTGAGACTTCTGGCTTCTCTGGAAAAAACAGAAATATTGGCCTCTGTGGGTCCCAATTTTGGGTTCCTATTTGTGCTCGGCTAAGGGCCAAGAAGAAGGTACATCTTAGGATGGTATGTACATGCCACAGGGCACCCCTCTCAGGCCCTGCCTGAACTATCTGAGTGTGGCCCCTCTCCCCCTAGTCCTCCTTTTCCAGGTGGGGAGACAGAAGGCAGGAAAGCCGGAGGCAACCACAGGGTGTGCAGTGGGGCTCCTGACCCCAAGGCCTGGCTCTTCCTCAGCCTGGAGGCCTCCACTTTCTCATCTATAAGAGGAGTAATAGATCCCACCCATCAGTGTGGTTGGGGTATCTATGACCCTGGGAAGGTTTCCCTATGCCAAAGCGAGGTCTGCCTTGACTGGGAAGCCACCCTACCACCTGAGCTGTCCAGGCTGCAGGTACAAGCCAGCTAGAGCAAGGGCCAGTGTGTGTATGTGACAGGTCACTAGCTAGGGCTTGGGTCACAGCAAGTGTAGGCTTGGTGGGTGCTGTACTTACCCAAGTGAAGATGGAGAAGAAGGAGAAGGCAATAGCAGCCCGAGCTGCGTCTGTCCCTTCGTTCAGTGGGTTGTCCTTAGGCTTGGAGACCTGCCACTGATTGGCCAGGTAGCAGAAGCCCACAAACCAGAGGAAGGCCCAGAAGGCTGGGGTCCCCAGGATCAGGCCGAACAGGCAGAATGACACACACAGGGGAGAGGGAAAGGGGAGAAAACAGGGAAACCAAGGAATAGGAGGAAGTTCAAGAGTGTCTCCCATGCTCCCCAACCCCAAGCGAGGTGAGAAGGTAGGACAGAGAGAGGAGAATGGTAGGGAGAGAAGGTGCAGACAGGACAAGGAATCACAGGAAGGGCAAGGCCAAGGACAAGCAGACAGGCCAGGGGCAGAGAGCGACCCATGGCAGTCAGCGAGAGGCAGAAGGGAGGAGGAGACAGAGAGAAAGAAGGCAGTCAATTCAGGCTGGCATTTCTCTAGCCCTGCCTGACACTGCTCCCCATTGGTGTCCTTGACTCCGGCCCCATGGCCCACCTGTCTAAGGAAGATCACCACTCTAGCCCTGCTAACTTCCAGAGAACTAGAGGGTTGCGGGGCGAGGCCAGGGCAAGGATGGTGGCTCAGCCTGGGGGGAGTCTGGACTTCCACTTCCAACATGTGTGCAGTCCCACAAAGCCCATGAGGAAGTGAGGACCTGAGAGCTGAGGTCTGGGGACTGACGGGGGCCTTGAGGCTGCATGATTTTCTGTGGGCGCCCAGGGTCTTCCCAGAGCTGTTCAGGACAGAGTGTGTGTGGCCAAGGGGATGGGGTGGCTGGAGCGCAGCCTGCCTCACAGAGGCACTGGTGGGGACCCCTGGGGCTCCCTGCAAGTTTGAGAACCATTTATTTAGTTCTTATTCCTTCTAGAAGGTATTAGGAGCCCCAGGCCTGGAAACGGGGAGGTCCCTGCTAGAGACCTGAGCCCCCACTCTTGAGCAAGGGCTGCTGAGTCCTCTCGCTCCTGTCAAAGGATCCACCAGGCAACTCCTGGAACTCCCAGGACAGGGAGTCCCTGCAGACTGACCTGAGACGCCGATGTCAGACAGCACGGCCTTCTTGCGGTCCTTGACACTGCTGATCTGCGGGAAGTATGCGTCCAGGGCCAGGTAGAGCAGGCAGGTGAGGAAGGTCAGCACGCCCACAGCCACACCGTAGCTGCAGGCATTGGGGTTACGGTTGTAGATACAGAACTCTTCACCCTCCGAGGGGCTGTTGAGGTAGCCCTCGTTTACAATGGAGCCAAACACCACTATGGAGAACACCTGTGGGGGATGGGTGAGATGGACAGGTGTGAGCCCACACAGGCTCCCACTAGCCCATCAGCCTGCCACCTGCTCCTCTATAAGCCACAGGTAGGTGTTAAGCAGGTAGTTTGGAGGGAAGCCCAGAGAGGAACACCAACTTGCTGGGGGTCACACAGCAGAGGTAACATCAATTGCTTCCTTCCTCATCTACAAGGACTGAGGGCTCTCTCACAACAAATGCAGCTTGGCCCACCACCCCACAGACAGTTCAATCCCCTAGGACTGAACTAAGCATGAGCCCTCCTAAGTATGAGCTTTCCAAGCCTCCATCCCCCAGCCAATTTTTCTGGAGACTGGCACCTACTTAGCTCCATCTTTGCTGCTCTCTCTGTGGGGCTGATGGAACTCAAGCCATGTCCTGGTTCCACTCTTCCCTGACGCCAGGGCTACCCAAGCCCTGGCAAGTGGATGGGATGACAAATGGAAAAAAAAAATCACAGCAATCACAATCCTTCCTGGCATATCAAACTGACACCTCAAATTGGACCTCATTTAGGTCCTCAGCAACGCCCTGCAACAGGTTCACTTCAGCTGGTGGGCAGCACCAGAGAACGCACCATGTCCCTGACAGCCCCACCTTCTGCTACCCATGCCTTTGTGTAGTCCACTCTGGGTGGGGGCAGCAGGACCTAATGATTTGCTTCTACCAGAAGACCTACGGCAGAAAGAGATGAGGTGTCGCTCCTAAGTGTGATGCCAAAGAGACTCTGGCTGCTGCCTCGCTCACCCCTTCGCCTCTTCCCCCTTCTACTGGAGGTCAGCTCTCATGTTCTGAGCCACTCCGTGGAGAGGCCTGCATGACAAGGAACTGAAAGAAGTCTCTGGCCACCAAGCGAGGAGCTAATTTAGTTCCAGCAGGGACTAAATCCCACCAGCACCATGTAAGTGAACCTGAAAGGGGACCTATCCTCAGCAGTCCTCATCTGAGCAGTCAGATGAGACCACAGCCCTGGCTGACGCTGTGGCTGCAGCCCATAAGAGACCACGAGGCAGTGGCACCCAGCTAAGCAAATTTCTGACCCAAGAAACTGTGAGATAACAAGTGTTGCTGTTTTACACCGTAGGGTTGGGACAATTTCTTATGCAGCAATCGCTAATTAATATATCAATATCATTGGCATTCTGCAGATGAAGCAGGTTAAAGCACAGGTCCTGGTGAATGTGCCCCAGTCCCACAGCCGGTAAGTGACAAACTCAGCGAGCCTGACTCTAATGCCCATGCCTTCCCTCGGGTATTCACCTCCCCTGAAGCCCCGAAGGATGTGGAGATCCAGGCCTGAGGAGCACACACTTAGGAAGGCTGGGCCCCAAGTGTGGCCTGTAATGAGTTTCAGGCAGAAGCCGGAAGGATTGCTACTGTCCATTTCCACTTGGATTGCTTTCCATTTCTCTACATAGGAAATCATAATTTCAATATGACCCGTGCTCATCTTCTGCCATAGCCAGCACTTGGGAGGGCTAGCGAGTCAAGAGTGGGGTGGGAAACACAGGAGGAGCGCTCTTAACACCATTTTCCTATCTAATCTTTTTGAGATGTTCACAGTCAGTGGTCCCATGAGACTGTTGCCTAGTGACATCACAGTCTTAGTGCACTTGGTGATGTTTGCACAATGACAAAAGGAGTAACAAGAAGCCAGAGCTTCAGAGTCATTATCAGGAGCTGGGCATGGTGGTGCCCACCTGTAATCCCAGCACTAAGGATACTGAGGCAGGAAGATTCAGAGCTCCAGGCCAGCCTGGGCTACACAGCAAGACCCTGTCTCCAAAAACAAAACAAAACAATCCAAAGCCACTGTTAGGGAGCTCCTGGGCTACTGACACAGCCAGGCAGGCAAGTTCTGGCGGCCATCTGCTTGGGCCCACTGCTGTCCTGTGCATCACCATCCTGGATTTGGAAATGTAACAGTCTAAGGCTCCTGTAAGAAAACTGTCAGGCAGAGATCAGGAGGTTTGAAGCTAGCCTGGGCAAATAGTTTGTGAGACCCTACTTCAAAAAAACCCATCACAAAAAAGGGCTTGAGGTGTAAATCCTGAGTTCAAATCCCAGTTAAAAAAGAAAACTGCCAGGCTGAGTGCCGGTGGCTCATGCCTGTAACCCTAGCTACTCAGGAAGCAGAGACCAGGAGGATAGCAGTTTGAAGCCAGCCCGGGCAAATAGTTCGTGAGACCTTATCTGGAAAAAAACTTTCACAAAAAAAGGTCTGGCGGAGGTGGCTCAAGGTATAGGCCCTGAGTTCCAACCCCAGTACCGCAAAAAAAAGCAAAGAAAACTGCCAGGGCAGGAACCTGAGGCCCAGTCCTGCCTGTCACCAGATGCTATTGAACCAGAACGGAAAAGTTTCCCAATTAGAGAGTTATTTCAGACACAGAGAAATCAGAAAGACTGGCTGGCTTCCAATCTGAGGCTGCTGCTCATGCTCTGTGGCCTTGGGCAAGCCACTGAACCTCTCTAAGTCTCAACTGTCATCTGTAAAAATGACCCACTGGGCTGGGGCACAGCTCAGCAGGGGAGCATGTGCTCAGCATGTGAAGCCTTGGGTTCAGGAAACTGGTGTTTCATCCTTCCCCAGGCTCAGGAAAGACGGAATAACACTAGCAACACTTCCTAACAGATACCTGCCCCTGGGACTGGAAAAAACGCCACTGAGGCTGGAGACGGCAACAGGTGTGGACCCCTTCCAAATGCAAAGAACAACAGGCTCCCCAGAGGCCAGAGGAGGAATGAGGAGGGGAAGCAGGCAGGTGGAAGACTGGGCTTTGGGGACAGCAGAAAAGGAACCATTAAGACAGGGCCCTCTAGGGAAGCAAAGCATAGAATCCTTGGAGAGGCCAGAAGGAAAGCACTGGAGATGATACATCCCCAAGAGGGTGAAGAACAAGATCAAAACATCCTCAGAAGCTGGGCACCAATGGCTTAGGCCTGTAATTCCAGTTACTCAGGAAACAGAGGTAGGAGGATCATAGTTCAAGGCCAGTCGGGGCAAAGTTAGAAAACCCTGTCTCAAAAACAAACTGAAAGCAAAAGGGGTGGCTCAAGTGGTAGAGATCTACACTGCAAGTGAGAGGAGCTGAGTTGAATGCCTGAAGTAGTGAGCAAAGGGAGACCCTTGTGAAGGGAGGTCACTGAGGGAGGCAGGGGCTGTCTCCAGGGCCGTAAGGGTCAGGTGGGCCAGGAGCCACTGCAAACTTAAGAGCAGTCAAGAGCCATGTGCAGGTGGCTCACACCTGTAATCCAGCTACTCACCAGACAGAACTTGGGAGGATCATGGTTCCAAGCCAGTTGGGGCAAATAGTTTGAGAGACCCTATCTCCAAAATACATAACACAATAAATGTTTGGTGGAGTGGCTCAAGTAGTAAAACACCTGCCTAGCAAGTGTGAGGCCCTGAGTTCAAGCCCCAGTACCATCAAAACAAAAAAAAAAAAAAAGAGCAGTCAAGGGACCCAATGGGATGTGTGCTTGAGAATTACCGGGGTGGCTTGGAGGGGATAGACTGCAAGGAGCTCTTGCAGCATCCATGGAGGAAGGTAGGCCTAAGGTTGGAGCAGGTAGAGACATGGGGAAAAGAGGTCAGGCTAATAAGCAGCTACTGGAGGTGCAGCCCCCTGAATCAAGGAAGAGTGAAGAGCAGGTGGGGTCTGGACTGGATGACAATGGGGATCACAGGTGTGAACCTGCAGATGCCACCTCCTTGCAGGCTCCCTACAGATAGGGAAACTGAGGCTCAGGAGGGGAAGGACGTCTCCAAGGACCTAAACCAGTCCCAACCCTCTACAGGACTCTCTTGGCCCTGCACCACGCAGATGGTTTAACTTATCCAGCTGCTATCTGCCGACTAAGCGGGAGCCACCAAGAACAGGACATGACCTCAGGTTATCACTGTTTGGCCACTCATAGGGTATGACAGAAGGAAGAGGACTTGCTCTGGGCCTGTACTGTGCAGAGACATATGCTCTCACCCACCAGGTGCCCATATTCCCATCTGACAGCTGCATCCAGGTCTGTGACTGCCCAAGTTACAAAGCTGGCTGGGGTATAGTCGGCACTGGAACCCGAGTCTCTCTGAATCCAAAACCAGTGCCCTGTGCCAGGTGGCTCCCTAGTGACTTGTTATGGCCCAATCCGCAGGGACTGCAAGGAACACAGAGCAGTGCAAGGAGACACTGGAGAACCGGAAATTAAACCAGAGCTAAATTCTACACTGGCCATGGCAGCCCAAGGCACTGGGGGAAGTTCGTGAACCAAGCGGCACTGCAGGGAAGGGAGCCGGCTCTGCAGAGGCAGAACCAGAGGCCAAAAACAGCAGAGGACTAAGGAGACAGCCAGGGCAGGACCTGGGAGACCACTGGGCACTGGCAGGCATGGGAAAAACCATATCCACCCCTCATGTGAAGAAAACGCCAAGAGAAGGACCCAGGTAAACAGCCAGGCCTCCACAGTAGCTACCATCCTCTTCTGAATCAGATCCAGAATCTTGTTAGAAACCAATTCCAGATGGCACGTGGTGTAGACCCACGTCCAACTCCAAAACAAAAATCAGAGGAAAGCTCAGAATCAGGGAATTTCAGGATCTTGGGCAGCTGGATTCAGAGACAGAATCAGAGACTCCAGAAGTCCTGAGCCCTCTGTGACCCCTGCCTCTCTGACCCCTTCCCTATTCGGACAGACAGCCACAGGCTATTTGAAAATTCTGTATCTGCTGTTCCTCAATGCTTGTCTAACACAAGCAAACATTTTCTCACCTTGGAGATGCCACTGGGATGCGTAACACCAGCCACCTTCCCAGCTGATCCTTCATTTGTGACTTATTTACCAGCTGTCTCCACCATGAAACCCTGGACCAGCCGACACTTTCCTAAGTCATCCCATTGATCAGCCAGCCCTCAGAAAGACAAACAACCCCAACACAGTCCCACAAACCACTGGAAGGCCATTCCATAGAGAAGGTGAGGCTCAG